AAATGGCACCAAGGAAGGATAAAGGGCAGAGCTCCAACGCTATGGCACCCATCCCAGGCTACGAGAACCTCATCTTCGCCGACAACGAACACCGAGCTCGATTCATCACTACAACGCTATGCCATGATGCTCTCCGTGAATTAGGAGTGTATAAGAGCACTAGAAAATTTTTTCATGAGTTGAGCATGGAGCGTATATTCAATATGAAATACAACTCTAGCGAAAAAATTATCTATGAGTTCATGAGTTCGGAGCAATTTGAGACCGATGAAGCTGACTTTAGGGATGATAGACTCAAGTTTCGTCTGTTTAACCAAAACCATCCAATAACGAAACTTGAGTTCGCCGAACATTTTGGCATTCCGGTTCCCTACCAAAAATCGATATCCGATAACATTGATTTCGGCCATTCCCTGTGGACAAAGATGACCGGGGAAGCAAAATTTAGCTCCTCCCAACTGTATATTAGTCATGTCCAACACCCCGTCCTCCGATTATTCTTGAAATTTCTTGCCAATTGCTTGCTTGGACGTCCCAACAACCATCACATTAGGTTGGGGGATGTATGCTTGATGTTTGTAGCCCTATTCCGTGTTCATGTGGACTTTAATCTGTGCAATCTTATGTGGGCACATCTGGAAAAGGAGAGCGCAGCCAAGGGGGCTATTGTTGTGGGTGGGGTGATTATGCACTTAGCCACCAAGTTCGGGTATACGGATAACTCTCCTATACCCGACTATTGTTTGATGAACATCTCCTCGTTAGGCCATTCGGGATGCACAGCCTTTTCCCATACAGTTTATGGTGGTGAACGACCAAAAAATATGTATAACTGGCTCATACACCCCAAGCCTCTCAAATACTTCCTCCTACCTAACCAAGAACTTCCCAAACTGCGCTACAAACAAGCGGTAGAAGTGCCCCATTACCTATTCCCACACGTTCTTCCACCGCATCTCCAAGAACCGGAACAAGAGCCTCCCCAATACCAACCCGAGTACGAGCCTTATGCTGAACCCCATGGTCATGAAGACATGGACGCCGACATCCCCGAGCAAACTCAAAACCCTCCACCACCCGACTTCTTTCAACAACTTTTGGAGGGTCAACAACAAATGCTTGCGGGGTACAATCTAATGAACACAAACTACAAAGCCATGGGAGCACATCTCAAACAAATGCAGGAGGAGCAAAGGGCGGGTTTTCAACGTTTGGAGGAGCTCCGGCAAGCCGACAGGCATCGGTATGAAGAAGATCAACGTAGGTTCTACGGACCTATGTACTCTTACATGGTCCAGCAGGGATCTTTTCAGGCCATGGCGAACCCCCCTCCACCACCCTCGTGGTATGACCCCACTCATTGGGGTAACTTTGGAGGATCTAGCTCCGGGGGTGGAGGGTACGACGACGAAGATGGCGGGGACACATACATGGGAGATGGCAGGCAGAGGAGCGGCTTCGGAGGCAGCTACTACGGCGGAAAAGGCGGGCACTAGGGACAGTGCTTGGCCTAAGTGTGGGGGAGAGACTCTTATGGTATGTATTTTCATTTATTCCCTTTCACTACGCATGAATTTCTTTTACCATTGGTATTCAAAAAAAAAGAATAAATAAAAGAAAAGAAATACTAGTTAGGTTGAAAACCCAACAAAATGGGCAATCTAAGCAAAAAAGGCTTACAAAAAAAATGATTGAGTTGGGGAGAATGGAAAATGAAAAGAGATGCTAGGATGAAAACCTGAAAAGGCTCCTAGGCAAAATGAGAGATATGAGAGAAATATTTGTTCTTGCAGGCACTCATTTCATCTCCTTGGAGGAAAAGAAGAGTCAAGAAAAAGAAGAAGAAGAAGAGAGGAGGAGAAGAGAAGATGAACACTAGAAGGCCATAAAACCCAAGATAATATTTGTACTTAAAACTCATATTTTATCATTGGTGGTCTTTGTGCTTTTATCCTGTAAAATTGTAGAAACTTTGGAAAACTTAAACACTTGTGAACATTTGACTTTACTCGAGGACGAGTAAAGAAATTAAGTGTGGGAGAGTTGATACGCTTGTAATTTCCATTTGTATGTTTGTGTTTTTAATTAGTTTTGATTGTTTTTTACTTTGGAAATTACACACTTTTGGTGTAATAGTTTAGTTTGTTAAATTCTTGTAAATTGTTTAGATTAGGTTTATTCTGAGCTCAAACAGGTTTTGATCAACTCAGAGGACAGTTGGTGAACCCCAAAAAGTGAAAGGAAGGTGCAAAAATAAAAAAGAAAGAAGATCCTGATTTTTTTGGTCTATACCCGGTCGAGTATGACCTATACTCGATCGGATATCTTGTTGAAATTTCAAATCGGATCAGATCCGAAGACAAAGGATCATGCAGCGAAGATTCGGACCACGATCGAATGTCCATACCCGATCGGGTACACTGACACACCCGATCGGGTATCTCTTCAAAAACAAACCTGAATTCGGCCGAGTATGCCCCGGATCTGAAGTTATAAGCATACTAGACCGGGTACAAAGGCATACTCGATCGGGTATGCTTATGAAATTTAGGCAATGATTGATCGAGTATACCTCGAATTTGAGGTATTACACATACCCGATCGGGTACCTTGTATATACCCGATCGGGTACCCGAGCTGCATCTCAAAAGCCTATAAATACACCCCCTTTCCTTCACAATTAGATATCAAATTCCTATATACATCTAAGCTCAGTCTAGAATAGTTCTTTCTTTATATTTTTCATTATGTTTAGTCTCCAAATGAGGAGCTAAACTCTTCCATCTTGGTTTTGCTACTTTGAAGCTTAATGAATTTGTAAGTTGTGAGTTATTTTCTTTAATCTTCTTCCTTGAATATTAATTCTTTCCTATTCATATTCCATATTAATATTTTGAGCATTACTTAAAGTATCAACTAGTTTTGTTTCTTATATTAATTATTACTAGAATCAATCGGTTAATACGCTTGTTATTAATCCGGTTCTTTCAACAGTAGTAAACTTGGATTATTAATGCATGCATCTCATGGTTAATATGCCAAGGGGAATTAATTATATTGATTAAACCAATAAACCGCTTGTGTTGAGGTTATCAATCTCAATCATTTTCATCTTAGGTTTATTGTTACTATCAAGTTAATATACGGCGCTTGTTCTATATTGACTCGATAGTAAGTTTTATTCATGAACGCATCTCGTTATTAATAACTACCCTCGATGAACTGGATATACTCCTCGATTGAGTATTCGAGAGGAAGATAGTTAAAGATATAACCGGGATCGACGAACATTTCATTAAGTGGATAAAAGCAAAACCAAGTCCTCATCTCTATTAATTAAACCACATAAGTCGTTCATCTTAGTGTTAATTAAATTAAATTAAATCAAACTCAAAACCTCCCCCTTTGTTACTCATTATATAAAAGAAAAGTATTCCTTTCCCTGTGGATATGAACCTTACTTCGTTATACTACGTATAATCGTTGTATTGTATTTATTTTGAGTGCATGTCACGACAAGTGCACGTCAATTAATAACCTCAACACAAGCGGTTTATTGGTTTAATCAATATAATTAATTCCCTTTAGATTATTAACCATGAGACGCATGCATTAATAATCCAAGTTTACTACCGTGAAAGCTAAGGACCGAACGATTAACAAGCGTATTCATCGACCGATTCTAGTAACAATTAATATATGAAACAAAACTAGTTGATCCTTAAAGTAATGCTCAAAAATTAATATGAAATATGAATAGGATTTAATTAATATTCAAGGAAGAAGATTAAAGAAAATAAATGCTACTATAACTAATGTCGAGATGTTAACTAATTTTCATCATAGCAACACTCCTGAACATTAATATAGAGATAGATTAAGGAAAGAATTAATATTCAAGGAAGAAGATTAAAGAAAATAACTCACAACTTACAATCCATAAAGCTTCCAAGTAGCAAAATCAAGATGGAAGAGTTTAGCTCCTCATTTGGAGACTAAACATGATAAAAAAATATAAAGTACTTAACTAAATTGAGCTTAGAAGTGTATAAGAATTGATGATTTTATTTTGAAGGAAAGGGGTGTATATATAGGCTTTTGGGAGCTGCAGGGTCTGATACCCGACCAGGTATATAGGATACCCGATCGGGTATCTTAGGAAATTTCCCAGAAAGTCACTTTTCTGGGCATACCCGATCAGGTATGTCGGCATAACCGATCGGGTATGTGACAAATCTTTTACGAAATCTTGCTCCCAAGATCATTTGTTCTCGAATTTGATTTGGACAATCGAATCAAGCAAATACCTGATCGGGTATTGCCTATACCCGACCGGGTACATGAGCATTTTTCCCAAATCGAAATCTTTCTTGTCTCCTTGCACTTTCCTTGATCCTTTAAGGTCCAATCTTGATCCCTTGGGTGATCTTTGACCTGTTTAGCTTAGAATAGCCATAATCTAAACAAATTACAAATAATTATGAAAATAAAGTATTACACCAAAAGTGTGTAATTTCCACAACTAGAACTAATAAAAACTAGTTTAAAATACAAACATACAATCAGAAATTACACGAATATCAAGCTTCATTCTTAGTTCTTCTTTGAGAGTTCCATAGATTGATTTTCTAATATATACCAGACTGAAATATTCTCATTTGACTGATATGTTATTCTCCTTCCCACCAAGTACCTCACCCCAGAAAATACTTACTTTCCTTCATAAAATATCTTCTTATCGGCTTTTGTTTGATTGGCAGACTTTGGAGGGATGTGCATGAAAGTTGATTTTTGTTGGATGAGCTTAATTATTTCTTAAAAAGCCTCATATCTGATTTGCCCAATTTGAGAGGTCCCTTTACTAATCCCTCCTTCGTTATTTTTTGCATGAGGACAAAAGAGGCCAATGTATTACACATATAAGAAATAACACGAGGATTGGTCACACCTTCAGAAAGAAGAACAAATTTTACAAGAACCAGACATATGATCAAACATGAGGGGTAAAAGAGGATTTGAAAATGGATTCATTCAAAAGGGGAATGTACAAATTTTGTTGCTACTTGCTACTCTCACAATCAAGAGACTACTAAAGATGGAACTTCATTTAGTTATTCTAATGGTACAAGAGCAACCCATAATCAAATAATGAGAAGTCACCAATGATTAAATTTATTAACCCTTCCTTTCAATCAAAGGGGAAGAACAACAAACACTTGATTAACTTTGACATAATTTAAGCACACTAAATAAGCAGAGGGAGGGATATTATTTAGAATCATTTGGCGAATCAAACTACTTATTCATAAAAGGAAGATGGTAGTCGAGGACTAATATACACTTGTAATGGAGTTTCTCTAATGAGAGTGATGGATATCCCTTCCAACATGTCCACTGGCATATTCCCCGGAGTTGTGATGATAAACCCTTGGATCAAACGGGCAATGGTGAGATGGGTCACTTTCAAAGCGTAAGAAGTTCCGGGACATGATCGTCTCCCGATCCCAAATGGAATGAACCCAAAATACTTGCCCGGATCAGTCTCTCTTTCATCATGCCCGAGGAATCTCTCCGGCAAGAACTTTTCCGGCTCCGACCACACCCGCGGGTCCCGTTGTAACTTCCACACGTTGGGGTACAAGATGGTACCCTTGGTGACAGTATACCCGCCAACGGTGCAATCTTCGATGGCTCTGTGTGGGGATAGAAGAGGCGATGGTGGGTACAGCCGCATGATTTCTTTGACGGTAGCTTTGAAGTACACCATTTGTTCAATGTCAGATTCTTGTACCCATCTTTCATTGTCGTTGATTACCGTGTCTATCTCTTCTCGGACTTTCTTCATTGCAATTGGGTTGTTTAGTAGAATGGACAAAACCCATTCCAAATTAAGGCCCAACGTGTCTGCTCCGTTTACTAGCACACTCTGTACAGGGAGACATCGATCAACAAAAAAAAATATAGGTACCCCATTCTGGAGTACCCCATTTGTAACCCTACTTGTGTGGTTTACAAAAGCAATTCATAAAAATGGGCTAATGAATTTAAAAAATGGGCTTTTGTGAACCACACAAATGGTGTTGTAGAAATGGGGTAACCCAAAATGGGGTACACTAAGAATGACTCTAACAAAATTGAAAGAGGTACACCTTGTGGTACACCCTAGGTAAAGCATTCCTAATTTTTTATCCTCCCTCCTTCCCAATTAAATCTTTTTTTAGTTTGGGGAGAATTGAGCATTAGGGACCGGTACAAGTACGGGTGGTTCAGTACGATACACCGAATGTTTTCTCTCATACCTTTGTCTTACCAAAACTTTCGATATACAAAATTTATATACCATTATTGTTGGTCCAAAATAGGACGCTCGTAGGCTTTTAAGAAAGCTACGTACGACACTCAAGCAAGAATTAGGAAAGTACGAATATGGAAAGTTAGCCAGAAATAGCATATCTGTCTTTGAAATTCGAATTGCCTTTTATAGGCGATTACAAATGGTAACTGCCGAACATAATAATGACTAAATTAATTACAACATTAATACGGAATTAAACACATAATTAAGTAGCGCATTGATTGTTGGCCGTTACTCTTCCTGGCTGGCAGGTCAGCCTGGCTGGCAGGCTGGACTGAACGGTGGGCTTCCTGCTAGGCTGGAGGAAGGCTTCTGACCGGGCTGGAGGCAGGCTCCCGAGTAGGCTGGAAGGCAGGCTCCCGGGTAGGCTGGAAGGCAGGCTCCCGGGTAGGCTGGAAGGCAGGCTCCCCGTTGGGCTGGAGGTAGGCTCCCACCTGGGCTGGACTGCAGGCTCCCAGCTGGGCTGGACCGCAGGCTCCCAGCTGGGCTGGTGGTTGGCAGGCTCCTGGCTAGGCTGGAAGGCAGGCTCCCCGTTGGGCTGGAGGCAGGCTCCCACCTGGGCTGGACTGCAGGCTCCCAGCTGGGCTGGACCGCAGGCTCCCAGCTGGGCTGGTGGTTGGCAGGCTCCTGGCTAGGCTGGATGGCAGGCTCCCCACTGGGCTGGAAGGCAGGCTCCCGGGTAGGCTGGACCATAGGCTCCCAGTTGGGCTGGACCGCAGGCTCCCGGGTAGGCTGGAAGGAATGCTCCCGGGTAGGCTGGACCGCAGGCTCCCAGTTAGGCTTCCGCTCCTTGATTGCCCAGGTTGGTTGGGCTGACTCGAGCTCTGGGTTGCTGGGCTTGGGCCCGCTGGTCCAAGTTCGGGGCCTAGGCCGATTAGGCTCTGGGCCTAGTCCCATAACCCCATCACGAGTCCCCCATTCCTTTAGTCGAGTAGTAGACTCGGCTAAGAGGGAGTAGTTTAAGTCAGCTGCCGATTTAAAAAATATTCACATATCAGGGAGCCATAATTGTGGATTATGGGAATCCCAGAGTTTATGGAAATTCCCAAATTAAATCAGGCTCCAAAAAAAAGGCTCCAAATAAATTCCTTCCTTTTCTTTTCTTTCCTTTTCTTTTCTTTCCTTTTTTTTTCTTTTCCTTTCTTTTCTTTTCTTCCTTTCTTTTCTTTTCTTTCCTTTTCTTTTTCTTTCCTTTCTTTTCTTTTTCCTCTCTCTCCTGGACCTGCGTCCGTCTTCCTCGTGTCACCCCAACGCCGCAGTCGGGAATCCAGCAGGCCGGCACCTCTTCTTCCAGATCGGCGGACGAATTCAGCAGCAAGGTGCGACCAGGCGCACCTCCAGGTCGGTCAGGACTCCGCGTTCAGCAGTTCGGTGGCCCACCTCCCAGGTTGACGTCGGATTTTTTTGGTTGGATGGCGGAGCTCGATGTCAGGCCGGTGGACACCCCGACAGGAAACATATGTGAGCTGGTGAAAAAACCTCAGGTTGGCACCCCACAGCAGGTCGGCTCTCCTTCGCCCGGTAGAATGCGAGGCTTTAGGTTGGTTGGGCCTCACCAGCTTGGACGAATCTCCCTCAAGGTTGGTGCCGCTACGGCAGAGCGTTGGAGCCTGATTTCGGGTTGGCAATCCCCAAGTTGGAAACCCAGCGTAGGCCGGATTGAGCTCCAACTTCCATTTTGAGGGACATCTTCTAATTTGAGGGAGGATGGAGCTTCAAGATTGGATTCCCCATTGAATTGAGGGACATCTTCTAATTTGAGGGAGTGCTTCAACTTCGTGTTTTGAGGAAGAGTAGATGTTTGCCACAAGTTGATACCTGTGGAGCTCTCAAGTCAGGCGGCAGGCGTCGTCCTTGGCGGTTGTATTCCCCAACATCCTTTGCTTGTTGGTGCTCGGTCAGGCGGCTGGGCGTCCAGGCGGGCAGATGGCCAGGCGTTTGGGTACCCCCGGGTCGGATGGCATCGTCTCCTTCTTGGAAGCCGTCGGCCAGGAGACTGGGTAGCTGCCAATATGTGTCTCCTTTTTTCTTTGGTCGGCGGGCCTGCCTTCCATGTTGGCCGGCGAAGTTTACTGGAGTTGGCGGCCATATACCCCACTTCCGTCCGGCGGTGGGTGGAGTCTTCCTCCTTTAAGGCGGCCAGGCTGTTTGGACGGCTGCTGCCGCATGTCATTGTAACTGGACGGTGTAGCCCCTCGGATTTGGCCATCAGGTCTGAACTCCCTCTTGGTCGGTGGAATTTCGAGGAGTTGAGCTAGGCGCCCAGCTTTCCCCACGAGTTCGAAGGTGGTTTGCCGCAGGCTGTCCGGCGCCCCACGCGAGCAGTTCCTCCTACCCTCAACTTCTCTTTGACTGGACAGTGTTGGTTAGGGACCGGCGGCCGTCGTTGTGCCGACAGTCGTCGCTCAGGCAACTGGTAGCTGTGCCTACTGGGCAGCCAAGGCGGGTGCTCTCTTTGTTGGTGCACTCCATGTTGGCCTGAGCTTTGACGATTTGTTATTTCTCTTTTTTTTTGTCTTTGCAGGTCTCCCAGAGTTTTGATTGTGTCTGGGCAAAGCTCTCTCATGAGTCTGAAAAGGTGAAGGACGCTCAGACAGGCAGCGAGACAATTCCATGCCTCGGCTAGGTCTTCCCAAGTGCTTAAAGAATCATTATGGTGAGAACAACCATGGAGGGGATGGCACTAGAGTCTGGATTCCAAGAGACCTCTTTGAGGTTCCTAGCCGCTCCCGTGATTAGACCATTGGACATGATGGTGCTGGGTCTGCTTAGCTACGACCTTGTATTTTGTATTTCCTTTGTTTCCCGCTTGAATATTCTGTGTTTCGAATGGATGTTTGATTTTTATTTCATACGCCTCCTTTTCTATACTTTGCATTACGAATACTTAGCAATTTATTCGGGGATCTGGCTTCTCTAACCTCCCGGGGGCGGTTAGGCTGGCGTGGCCGAGCCTATCCGTGCCCCTCCTAGTTGGGTAGAAGTGATCTGTTCGCTATTGATATGGAATCAACAAGTAAGCGACTTGTTTGGCCAGCAAGGTCGGACATTGAACCGACGAGGAAGACCCTTAGGTCGGTATCCTGAACGTTCATGACCCGGGGGTCAGTCCTACTGTCACTTTAACCCGTCCAGTTTGCCCGGACTTGGGGAATAATCTGGTTACTCCCGCATGGATAGCCAAACAACAGGGGCGGACCCTGCATGATCCACCAGAACGAACCCGCACCGCCAACTCAGGGATGACGAGAGTGCGAGCTGCTTGGCCAGCGATGTTAGGCGGCGAGCACTCGAAAGGACCCGGAGGTCAGCATCCTGAGTACCCTCGACCCGGAGGCCGGCCCTACCATCGCCTCGACTGTCGCGGCTAGCTCTTTACTTTAGAAAATTGCCCGGATTCTTGAAAATCGCTTGGCTATTTTCGGTTAAAGAGCCTAGCCGAGGTCGGCCAAACACCGAGGGGGGGCATAGTACCTTTTTTTTTTTTGCCGCCGCCCTTTATTGCTAAGTGAGGTCGGACCTCTTTTGATGACAAAATATCGCTAGCAAAGTATATTGAATTCATGATGTGGGCGGACCACATGAAGAATTACAAATTGTAATCCCGTGCTCGGAGCACAGGAGTTTACAAAGAAAAGTGAAACTTCGATTTTCTACTGGTAAAACTTCATCAGGTGCTCGGCATTCCAGACGCGGTCTACCAACCGGCCTGTTGTTGTCTTCAACTTGTATGTCCCAGGGCTGATCACTACGTCAACCACGTAAGGGCCTTCCCACTTGACGGAGAGCTTACCTCCCTCTGTCGGCCTACTGGCCTTCCTACGTCTTAGGACATAATCACCGACGTCAAAACTCCGGGGTCGGGCTCGGCTATCTTGGTACGCCTTAACTTGTCGTCGATAGTTTTCCGCTTTGATGAAGGCACAGTCTCTTCTTTCCTCAATGAGGTGGAGCTCGGCTCGGAGCCTCTCCTCATTGCTGGCTGGTTCGAACTCTTCTACTCGCCGGCTGGGAACCACGGCCTCGAATGGTGCCCTCGCCTCAAAGCCATAACACAAGGCAAAGGGGGTCTCTCCTGTTGCCTTCCTTGGGGTTGTCCTGAAGGTCCAGAGTATATTGTTCAACTCCTCCACCCAGGCAGTCCCGAGGGCCTCCAACTTCTTTTGCAGTCCATCGACGATCGTCCGGTTGGTGTTCTCCACCTGTCCATTTGCCTGGGGGTAGCAGACCGCAACTCGGCTGGATTCTACTCCCCACTCTGCACAGAATTGCCGGAAGGCTTCGCAGTCAAACTGCCTTCCGTTGTCGGAGATTATTTGGAGGGGAACCCCAAACCGGCAGAAAATATTCTTCCATATGAACTTCTTACATTGGAGATGTGTGATGCTGGCAAGCGGCTCGGCCTCAACCCACTTCGTAAAGTAGTCCACCGCGACGATGACAAACTTCCGGTTTCCCGACCCGGTTGGTAAGGGACCGACCAGGTCGACACCCCATCTTGTGAGTGGAAGGGCAGTGCTGATCGGTGTGTACATCGTTGCTGGTCGGCCGGGGCTCTTCTGGAACTTCTG